TGCCTGGGTCTGTCGGCCTTGTCGCCTTGCCTGGTCTGACTGCCTTGTCGCCTTGCCTGGGTCTGAATCTGGGGCCTTGTCGCTTGCCTGGTTGACTTGGGCCTGTCGCTTGCCGGGTCTTGTCTGGGCCTTGCGCTTGCTTTGGGTGCTGACTGTGCCTTGTCACCTTGCCTGGTCTGTCTGGGCCTTGTCACCTTGCTTGGTCTGTCTGGGCTTGTCGCCTTCTTGGGTCATGTCTGGCTTGTTCACCTTGGCCGTGGGTCTTCTGCCTATGTCGCCGCCTGGGTCTGTCCTGGGCTGTCGCTTGCCTGGGTCGTGTTCTGGTTGTCGCCGCCTGGGGTTCTTCTGCTTTGTCGCCTTGCTTGGTCTGATGGGTCTGACTGTGCCTTGTCACCTTGCCTGGGTCTGTCTGGCCTTGTCACCTTGCCTGGGTCTGACTGGGCCTTGTCGCCTTGCCTGGGTCTGACTGGGCCTTGTCGCCTTGCTTGGGTCTGACTGTGCCTTGTCACCTTGCTTGGGTCTGTCTGGCCTTGTCGCCTTGCCTGGGTCTGTCTGGGCCTTGTCGCCTTGCCTGGGTCTGTCTGGGCTCTTGTTACAGAACAGAGGGCAGGAGGCGTCCCCCTCGGGAACTGTCTGGAAACCCCCAAATGAGGTGCTGGGTGTGGGTTCCTTCCCCAGCCCTCCTGAGTGTACATGTGGGGGTCCCGGTGGCAGAGCCGGCGGGGGAGCAGGCCCTGGGGGTTCACTGATGAGCTGGCTGTCAGTGGCCTTGAGGGTCACCTCACCCTAGCCTCAGTTTCCCCAGGGAGCTGCTGGGCACAATGGCGCCTGCCCTCCCTGCCTGCCAGGTGGGCTTCCTGGGAGGGTGGGACTGGAGCATGGAGCCTCACCCCTGCCAGGCCGGCCGTTTGTGCCCCGCAGCCCTCAGAGGGGCTTGTCCTGGGGCGTGGCCGGCGTGTTTCACCCACAGGCCGGGGGGCGGGGGGCGCCCGAGTGGGGGCAGCAGCCTTGGACGTGCGGCCCCTCCCTCCCAGCCCCAGCCCGCACGCGCCCACAGGGCTTGCGGCTTCCTGGCCGGCCGTGGCCTGGCAGGCTGGCCCTTCGAGATGACCCGCGCCGCCCGCTGCCGCCCGCCCCGGCACGGCGCCCTGGGCCGCCGTCAGCAGCCCGTGCTCTGCTCAATGTGCTGGAGAAGGTAAATGGGCGCCCGGCAGCTGTCGGCCGGCCGCGATGGATGTGTCAGCGGCGGGGGACCACGCGGTGGCCGCTGTCAGCTGGCACCCGCTCCCCGGGCCTGCTGGGGCTCACTTTGCTGTGGAGAAACAGCTCGGTGCCGCCTGGCGCCCTGCCAGCCGCTGCTGCCGCCACCGCTGCCTCGGCAAAGTGTTTATCCAGCAGTTTCCCCAGAGCTGGGGACTTGGGGGCGGCGTGCACAGGGCTGGGACGTGGGGCGGGGGGGGGGGGCTGCGGCTCGTAGGGGCCGGCACCCCTGGCAGCTCAGGAGGACTCGGGCCAGCCTGGGACACACGGTGCCCACCCAGGCCAGGCCACAAGCTGCGTGTCTGGCCCCTATGTGTGCACTCGTGCTGTTGGGGTACCCTCACCCATGGCATGGCCTGGGACAAGTGTCTGTGGGGCGTGGCCCTTATGGCAGTATGAGGGGCCCAGGTAGGAGAGGCCTCCTCCCAGCACCCCCTCATTCGGCCCTGGGTCCCAGGGGACAGGGCAGCGTCCCGAGGGACACACATGGCTCCCCTGTGTGTCTCGGCCAAGGCCTGGTGTGGACACACACGTGGCGCTCAGCTGTCAGTTTGTGGCCCCGCCGGGCTGTGCGGCGGTGTCGTGGGTGGGCGCTGACCGCCTTGGGCCTGCCCGCTGGACTCTGCTCCTGTCTCCGGCGTGAGGGTTTCCAGGGACCAGAACGGGGTGGGGGACCCCAGCAGGGCCTGGGCAGGAGCACCTCGGACGTGGAGGACGAAATGGGTGGTCTCTTCTGCTGGGGAGCAGGGGTCCCAGGAAGGGGGCTGGGAGTGGGGGCCGCCGTCACTGGCTGAGGTGTGTCCGTCGCCCCCACCCTCCCCAGGGCACAGGGGCGGGGCAGGTGCCGGCCTGCAGGCCCCCACGAGGATGGCAGTGGCCGGGCCCAGGGTGGCCGTCTCCTTCACGTGCCCATCCTGTGCTGTCCCCAGTCCAGGAGCAGGGAGTGGGGTCCCTGGGTGCCCTGTCGTTTGGGCTGGCTGCCTGCCCCGCGCCCTGTCTGGCCTGGACCCACTAAGATGCAGGCCACGGCTCGGCCGCAGTTGGCGCTGCTGGAGCCCCCGAGTCATCGCCTGGCTGGACCTCTAGCGGGAACGGGAGGAAGCGGCGTGTGTGTCTCTGGAGCCCAGGCCGGCCCCTTCTCTCACACGGCTCCCCTGGGCCTGCCCTGGGCCCTGGGCCCGGCCCCAACGCCTCAGTCCCCCGGGGCCTGGCACTGTCCTGCCCCCGCCCACAGGAGGCCTGCCCCCTCCTGCACCCCAAATCCAGCTCCCAGAACCTGCCGGGCCGGGGCCTGGGGAGCGGCTGGTGGGGCGAGAGCTGCGAGGGGCAGGTGCAGCTCAGGGCCGGCCGGGGTGGGCGGGTGGCGTGTGCGGGGCGTGCGGGGGCTGCTGGGCGCAGTGGGGGCCGGCGGCAGTTGGTGGATCGGATGGGTTCGGGGTGCTCATCAGTCTTCCCGCTCAGTTAGCGTCCCGGGGAGCGGCAGCTGGCGGGAGGGAGGCACTCCATCAGGGGCCGACAGCTCCAGACTGGCGCGCAGGCGGGTGGGCGCAAGCGGGACAGGGTGGGGGGTTGTGCATACCCCTCTCTCCCCTCCCCGCAAGCCCCGGCTGCCTGCCGCACGTGGGAGGCTGGGTGCTGCGCAGGCATGGCGTGGCTCGTGGGGGAGGGGGTGGCAGTATGTGGGGCAGGGGGGTGGCAGTACGTGGGGCAGGGGGTGGCAGTACGTGGGGCAGGGGGTGGCAGGCCTAGGGCAGAGAGTGGCCAGAACACACCTGCTCGGTAGAGCTAGGTGGAGACGCTAAGGAATGGCCTTGGGGGCGGGTGCATATCTCTGGCCCCGCCTCCTGCACTCTCTTCCCCAAGGGTCCGTGTTGGCTGCAGGCCAGAGCCCCCTGCAGGGTTGGGGTGCGGGTCCCCAGGTGTCCTGGCCACGGCCCGTGAAATGTGGACTCTCGAGAAGGGACGGCAGAACCTCCCCAGTCCCTCAAGGGATCCTGCCACATTTGGGTCAGCGTCACAGAGCGTCACAGAGGGTGGGCGCCTTCCCGCTTTGCCACCGTGTTCCCCTGACCAACGCCTGGGTCGAGGATGTCTAGCTCAGGCTGGGGACGTGGCCAGGGTGTCTCTGGCTGCCTGGCTGGACCTCTAGGGAGGAGATGCTGCAAGAGGCCTGTGTCTCCGGAGCCCCTGGGGCGACCGGCCCTGCTGGGCGGCTCTGGGAGGAGGCCCCCGCCTGGGTCGTTCAGAGGGCCACGCCCTGAGGGGCCTGGTTGGGCGTCTGGGCAGTGGAGTTGGGGGAGGAGGGGAGGCACGGCCAGGAGGTGGCCGTCGGTCGAGCCCTGGTGGCTCCCCGGCACCTGCAGAGCCCCGCTGCCCGCACCTAGGAGCCGGGTGCAGCCGGTGGCCCCGGAGAGCCTTCAGGGGGTGGTTCTAGCTGCAGGTGCGGGTCAGCTGGTCCCACCCAGCCCACACCGAGTGGTGCCGTGGCCCGCAGAGGTCCCGAGGGTGGAGAGGGCTGGCCAGGTGCCCCAGGGGCTGTAGGAGGAGGGTGGCGGCTGCTGCCCGGGCCCCAGGGCCTGGCCTGTGGGAACCGCACGGGCCTGTCCCGGCCAGACGTGCTCAGTGTGCCGGGAGGGGCTGGGCTTCTGGAGCTCACCAGGCAGACTGGCAGGGACCAGGGGTGGGTGGACCGGTGACGGGGCAGGCAATTTCTTGTCCTCCTCGTCCCTCCAGGCACCCTCATCCAGGGCTGTGATGGGAAGGCCCAGGCCCCAGAGCTCAGGGACCCCAGACCCTGCCTGGGCCCCTCCCGCCCATGGTTGCCTAATTACTGAGCTCCCTGTTGTTCAAATTCCTTGCTCGACAAAATGTAAATGAAACATTTTTTTCCGGGTGTCAGTATGAAAAATGACAGTTGCTGGGATATCACAGAGGACATCTGCTCTGAGCCTTAAGTGTGAACGCCCGTTATGGCTGATGCTGCAAGACTTGGGGGAGAGCGTCCCCCTGTACCTGGGCAACCGTGGGTGGGCCGGGCCCGAGGGCTTCCCGGGCAGTGCCCAGACGCTCTGGGTCCCTCGGCTGCAGTTACGCCAGGGCCGCCACGAGGGCTCGCTCGGGTGGCACTGCCCCTCGCTGAGGACACCAGGCTCTGTTTTCTCAGCTGGGGACCGGTCGTGGTGGGCAGCACACACACGCATTGTCACCTGCAGCTGCCACCTGGCCGGCCCTGCGTACCCAGGGAGAGCTCTGGACCCCGAAGCCCCAGCAGTGTTGCTGGAGCCTGCTGGGGACAGCAGACGTGCGGATTGGCCCAGACCTCCCCCACTGTCCTGTTAACTGATCTCGCCCCTCCCCGTGCACGTCCGGTGCCCTGGCCTTGCAGACACAGCGGTGGGGACTCTCGTGGGGTGGGTGCTTTGGCGTGGAGAGCCCGCCTTCTCGGACCCAGCGCCGTTCTGCTACTGGCCTCAAGGAACACGCCCCCGCCCCCTGCCCCCCACCCCGGACTCAGGCTCCCTGGGCACGCCTGTCCTGGCGCAGCCAGCTGCCAGCTGTGGGGGAGGGGAGCCTGGGGCCGGGGCCCTCACTGCCGGGTCTCGCAGGGGAATACATCAAGACGTGGCGGCCCCGCTACTTCCTCCTCAAGAACGACGGCACCTTCATCGGCTACAAGGAGCGGCCGCAGGACGTGGACCAGCGCGAGTCTCCCCTGAACAACTTCTCCGTGGCACGTGAGTAACCCTCACACCCCATGCCCCGAGGGCAGGGGGACCGGGCTGGGCCGTGCTGGCTCCCGAGTCATGTCCTCTAGGACCACTGGGGGCCAGCTCCGGGGGGCAGGGTCCCCAGGCCGTCCCAAGGCCGGCTGGCCCTGCGTGGTCCCCTGTTCTGGAGGCTGGCGGGCCCCGAGGAGCAGTGGCGACAGCCTTGGGGTAGACGGCCGGCCGGGGCCCCTCCTCCTTCACCCCAGGAGGAGCGCGTGGGGCCCCCATCACCCCCAGAGGAGCCTGCAGTTCTCCTGAGCAGGCCTCCCGGGCCCCAGCCCCTGTGGTGGAGCATCTGCCTCCCCTCGGCTGGGCCGCGGATGGGCGTCTGCGCCCACGGGTGGTGAGTGTGGCGAGGCTAGCCCAGGGTGTCGGCCGGGCGTCCCTCAAAGCCAGATGAGCTGTGGCCTTCCTCCTGTGTGCCTCCGGGGCTTTACTCCCTGCCTGTGGGGGACCGCATGTGTGGCCCGACCCCTGTGGGATCCCCCAGGTGTGGAGGTGGGCCACGTGGTAGGATGCCGAGAGTGGGGGCCCTCCCGGCCACGTGCCCATGCCGTGCCAGGACACGGGCCTGTGTGTGGCGGGGTGGCTTGTTGGGGCTTCCCTGTGGGACACCTGCCCGCCATGGGGCCTGTGAACCGCAGCCCCCGAGATCCGTGTGGGGCGGGGTCCGGGGCGCAGAGCTCGGCGCCCACCGGGGGTGGGTCCTGGGTCCCAGCCCTGGCACCGCAGTCATAGGCCCTCCCCACAGGTGGCTTTGCCCCCCTTGCTGTGCGGCCTAGGACCCTGGGCTCCTCCTCCCCCCATCCCCTGACCCCCAGGTTCCGGTCCAGGGTCTTAAGGTTGAGGTCAGCACCGGTCTGGGTGAGAGGGAGGGACTCCCAGCGCAGTGGCATCTGTGGGGCGCCTGGCTGATCGGGCACCCACGCCCCGCGGGCCTGGGGGCCGGCTGACCCTGCCCTGAGGGCCTCTCATGGGAGGGGAAGGGCCCGGGCTGAGGGGCTTCCGGAGGGTCCTGCAGGTTCCTGTGGGCCCCAAACTGCCCTCCTGGGCTCTCTGCCACAGGCCGAGCAGCAGCAGGGCAGCCGGAGAGGGGCCCGGGGGTAGGGGAGACCCAGGAGGCAGACACCCGGCCCCCTGGCAGCCACGTGGCCACATGGGAGGTGCACTGCCGCTCATGCCAGGCTCTCCCCAGCGCCTGCTGGGTTGAGCTGGGGCTTCAGGGCTCACCGAGAAGGCCGGGTGCCCCTGTGCCCAGCGGCAGCCTGAGGCAGGGCCCTGCTGGGGGTGGGGGAGCCAGTGCAGGAAGGAGGGAGGGGACACATGGGGTGGGCACCTGCCAGAGGGGGCTGTTGTAGCAGGGGCAGGCGGGGACTTCAAGCAAGGCCACCGGCCCGGAGCAGGTCCTGGGGGTCAGAGCCGCTGCAGTGGGGGCTGTGCTGGGTCCTCTGTGCCCAGGGGCAGGTTCTGGGCAGGGGGCTTGAGACCCGGCCCTGGGGATGGAGCTGCATCTGCTGGGTTCCTGCGGGCTACGCAGGGGCGAGGGGAGGCTGGTGTGCTGGGATGAGAAGGCCCGTGCGGGTTTCCACCTCCCCTGCCCACGCTGACACAGGCCATCCTCCCCAGGAGGCTGGCCCCAGCCCCTTCCTGGCCCCCAGGCCCAGCAGAACGCTCCCTCGCAGTTGCCAGGGACAAGATGTGGAATGTCGGAGGCCCCTCTGCGGGGGCCTCGCCCTCCCGCCTCACACAGGCTGGGCCAGAGTCCTGCCACGAAGCCTCCAGGCTGCCCTGTGCTCTCACACCCTCTCGGGGCCTGTGTGTCCCCAGAGTCCCTGGAACATGTGTTCCAGGCGTGTGTGTGCTCCAGTGTGCCTGTGCTCCTGGTTTGTGTGTGTGCTCCAGGCGTGGGTGTGCTCCAGCTTTGTACATGGGCGGCAGTGTGCATGTGCTCCAGGTATGTGTGTGCTCTGGTTTGTGTGTGTGCTCCAGGTTTGTACGTGTGCACCAGTGTGCATGTGCTCCAGGTATGTGTGTGTTCCAGGCGTGGGTATCCTCCAGCTATTTGTGCTCCAGGTGTTCATATACCCAGGTGTGTGCTCCAGGTGTGTGTTCCAGCTATGTATGACCCAGGTATGCATATGCTCCCGCTGTGTGTGCCCCAGGTGTTCATATACTCAGGTGTGTGTGCTCCAGGTGTGTGTGTTCCAGCTGTGTGTGCCCCAGGTGTGCATATACTCCAGGTGTGTATGTACTCCGGGTGTGTGTGCTCCAGGTGTGTGTGTTCCAGCTGTGTATGCCCCAGTTGTCCATATACTCCTGCTGTGTGTGTTCCAGGTGTTCATATACTCAGGTGTGTGTGCTCCAGGTGTGTGTGTTCCAGCTGTGTATGCCCCAGTTGTCCATATACTCCCGCTGTGTGTGTTCCAGGTGTTCATATACTCAGGTGTGTGTGCTCCAGGTGTCCATATACTCCAGCTGTGTGTGCCCCAGGTGTTCATATACTCAGGTGTGTGTGTTCCAGGTGTGTATGTACTCCAGGTGTGTATGTACTCCAAGTGTGGTTGGGAAAATAGCAGAACGTTCCTGCAGCAGGTGGGACAAGCTGCTCTCCCAGGCCCTTCCCTGCTGTGGCCTTGTGGGCCCTGCACCTCCCGCCCCCTGTGAGGCCTGGTCCATGCTGGGGCTCGGAGATGGAAGGGAGGAAGGACCGCAGGAGGGGACAGTGGTGTGGGTTGACCGGACCCAGCCCCAGATGTGCTCTGCGGTTGCCTCCTCCTTCAGGGCGGGGTGTGGGGGCCTAGCCCCGTTCCATGAGGAGAGGCCGCAGTCTGGCAAAGGATGACAGGGGTGGGGGGGGTCCAAGGGAAGCGGCCAGGGCTGTGGGGCGGGCTCTGGGGTGGCAGGTGGGCACAGGCAGACGCGTGCGCTGGCCCCGTCCCCAGAATGCCAGCTGATGAAGACGGAGCGGCCCAGGCCCAACACCTTCATCATCCGCTGCCTGCAGTGGACCACGGTCATCGAGCGCACCTTCCACGTGGAGACGCCGGAGGAGCGGTACGCGGGGCTGCTGCCGAGACACGTGGGGACGGTGGGGTGCTGGCACCCTCTGCCTGTGGCCATCCTTACGCCCCAGTACTCCCAAGCCCTGCTCAGAGCCCGTTTTGGAAACCGTCTGTGGGGTTTGGGTGGGGAAACTGAGGCATGAAATGAAGACCAGGTGGGGAGGACGTATAGTCCTGCTGTGGGGCTGTAGGCGTGTCCCAGCGTCCGTGGCTGGCCCCGTGTCCCAGCGTCCAGGAGGGTTTTCTGACCTTGAGCGAGTGTGGCCAGCCCAGGGCTCTCTCGGGTCTCTGTCACCACCTCTGTGCTGGGCCGTGGAGGGGAGGCGGGGCGGTGGCCGCTGCAGGCGGGGCTCCTGCTGGAGGGCGGGGCCTCACCTGCCCGCCTGCAGGGAGGAGTGGACGACCGCCATCCAGACAGTGGCCGACGGACTGAAGAAGCAGGAGGAGGAGATGATGGACTTCCGGTCGGGCTCACCCAGCGACAACTCTGGGGCTGAAGAGATGGAGGTGGCCCTGGCCAAGCCCAAGCACCGCGTGGTGAGGCCCAGCTCTGCCGTGCCCGGGGCTGCGGGGTGGGGGCCGCTCCCCGTCTCCTTGCCCGTGTTGGAAGTGAAGTCGGGGCGCTGCGTCTGGAAGGGTCCAGAAGGCGCTATGGTGTCACCGCACCGTTCCCCAGACCCCAGTGCTCCAGACTGGGGCCGCAGCCCGCTGAGCCCAGCAGGCTGGCGGGTGACTCCTGGGCACGGAGGGGCCGCTGGTGGGCGGAGGGTGACCCGGCTCCCGCGCTGTCCTCAGACCATGAACGAGTTCGAGTACCTGAAGCTGCTGGGCAAGGGCACCTTCGGGAAGGTGATCCTGGTGAAGGAGAAGGCCACCGGCCGCTACTACGCCATGAAGATCCTGAAGAAGGAGGTCATCGTGGCCAAGGTGGGCACAGGCGGGCGGGGCAGGCCGTGGGGTGGCGGGCGGCGGGGCGGCGGCTCACCAGCCCTGCCTTCCAGGACGAGGTGGCCCACACGCTCACCGAGAACCGCGTCCTCCAGAACTCCAGGCACCCCTTCCTCACGGTGAGTCCCTCTGCCCTCCTGGCCTCAGGCTGGGGTCAGGCTGTCACCCTCACGGCTGCCTCTGAGGGACGGTCCCGTCTTCCCGCACACACGAGGGACCCGGCCTCAGACCTGGTGACGCTGGGACTGGCCTCTGTGGAGGGTTGGGCTGTGGGGGTGCCAATGGGGGCAGGGTCCTCAGTCTCCTCCACTCTGCGGAGCCCTGGGAGCCCTCAGACCCCCCCACGACCCTGCAGGCCAGTCTCCCACTGCCTCCTCTGTTGGGGTGCAGCCCAGGTGGGCCCTGTCCTGGGGGGGGGTGCTCGGCCGGGAGGTGTTTACCGTGAGTGGATCCAGCTGCTGGCCCAGTTCCAGGGTCACTGTTTTGGGGTAAGGGTCGGCCACAGCAAAGCCACCTGTGCGGGCGGGCCGCCCAGCCAGCTCTGCCCGTAGGGCGTGTCTTCTCCCCAGGGCAGCAGGGTTGGGAACTTGGGTCTGTCACTCCACTTCCACCCCTTTCAGTGGCCCCCAGCTGGGAGCGTGGCCAGTGCCTGGGTCCTGACTCCCCCAGACGCTTCAGCCAGACCCACCTGCTCATCTTCCACATGCGCCTCGGTGCCTCGTGGGGTGCCCGCGCATCAGGCCGTATTCCTGCCCATCATGCCTGCGGCTCCATGTCTGCTTCCGTTTCAGGCCCTGAAGTACTCCTTCCAGACCCACGACCGCCTCTGCTTTGTCATGGAGTACGCCAACGGGGGCGAGGTAGGGACCACGGCTGGGTGGGAGGCAGCTCTGGGGAGGGGCTTGTCCCTCTTGGAGGCTCTGCTGCCCGCCTGCAGTGCGGGGCAGTGGGGCCGCTGCCCACCTATGTATGGGGCGGTGGGTCTGCTACCCACCTATGTATGGGGCTGTGGGGCCACTGCCCGCCTACCCATGGGATGGTGGGGTCGCTGCCTGCCTATGTATGGGGTGGTGGGTCTGCTGCCCGCCTATGTATGGGGTGGTGGGGCCGCTGCCCACCTGCAGCGTGGGGCGGTGGGGCTGCTGCCCACTGCAGGCAGCTGTCTGCTGGGGGGCGACGGGCCTGCTGAGTTGGGGTCTCCAGTACCTTTTGGACCTTCTGGAGATTGGAGTGCCCTGGGAGCTGCAGGCGGGGTGGCCTGCCTCACGGCCGCCTCCCGCAGCTCTTCTTCCACCTGTCCCGCGAGCGCGTGTTCTCGGAGGACCGGGCCCGCTTCTACGGCGCCGAGATCGTGTCGGCCCTGGACTACCTGCACTCGGAGAAGAACGTGGTGTACCGGGACCTCAAGGTGCGCCCCGTGGGCCAGCGGGAGGCAGGGACGGGCCCCGGCAGCGCTGACCACATGGCCTTCCTCCCACAGCTGGAGAACCTCATGCTGGACAAGGACGGGCACATCAAGATCACAGACTTCGGGCTGTGCAAGGAGGGCATCAAGGATGGCGCCACCATGAAGACCTTCTGCGGCACGCCCGAGTACCTGGCCCCCGAGGTGCGCCTGCCGCCGCCCCGCACTCCCCACCCGGGCCCGCCCCGGGCACGCTGTGACACCCGCCCTGCCCCTGCCGCCCGCCCAGGTGCTGGAGGACAACGACTACGGCCGGGCCGTGGACTGGTGGGGGCTGGGCGTGGTCATGTACGAGATGATGTGCGGCCGCCTGCCCTTCTACAACCAGGACCACGAGAAGCTCTTCGAGCTCATCCTCATGGAGGAGATCCGCTTCCCACGCACGCTTGGCCCCGAGGCCAAGTCCCTGCTCTCGGGGCTGCTCAAGAAAGACCCTAAGCAGAGGTGAGGGCCCCCGGTGGCTGGGCAGACCGGGCTGGATCCTGCAGCCCCTCACACCTACTCGGGGGGCCCCGACCAGAGGCTGCCCTGCCGTCCCCACAGCCCGGGGCCCCCGTCTAGGGGGCGGGAGGTGGGGCCCGAGCAGGCGGTGGCTCCGTCACTGTGGCTCCGTCACCGTGACTCTGTGTCTCCTGCCCCAGGCTCGGCGGGGGCTCCGAGGACGCCAAGGAGATCATGCAGCACCGCTTCTTCGCCGGCATCGTGTGGCAGGACGTGTACGAGAAGAAGGTGGGCTAGCGGCTAGAGTCCCCAGGCACACACGCGCACACACACTTGCACGGCTGTGGGGTCTGCTGCGGCCCCGGGCACAGGAGGGCCCAGGCCCGCCCTCCCCGGAGGTGCTGTGCACGCACAGTGAGGCAGGCAGGGGTGGAGTAGGGGTGCGACCCCCCCCCACTTCCTCTGGTCACCTGATGTCCTGCTGCAAGGAGAGCCTAGCCCTCGCTCTGGGTGTGCAGGGGTGGGACAGTGTGGGCCCCTGTCTCGGGGGCTCACCCTGCCCAGGGATCCCAGGAGCCCCAGGCCCTGACCCAGGCCAACGGGGTCTGCCCAGCTGGGCCCGAAGGCTGTACTGCGATGTGTTGGCTGCCTGGTCACCATGTGTGTGTTGCCTGGTTTCCAGCCAGCACCTCCCCTGAATGCCGGCGTCAGGCTACACATGGCCAGCTCGGCAGCCTGGGGACCCCCTGGGCCTCTGTCCTCCCTCTGGCACAGGTGCCCCCGGCCCTGGTGCATCCAGGTCCTAGCCCTGTGGCCTGCCACCTTCCAGCCCTACCCTCCAAGGGCGTGGGGGGCTCGGGCAGTGCCTGACGCCTGCCGGCCTTGACCAAAGACCCCACTAGTGCACAAGGGACAGCACTGGCACCAGGCCAGACTCTGGGGCCAGCATTTGAGGATGTCCTTGCCTGAGGGACCTGAGGCGCCGTCTGGTGGCCCCTCGTGTGCACGTGACTTTACAGTTACCCTTGCGTCCTGGGTCCTCGGGGTCCTCTCTGCAGCCTGACCTCCACCCGGGCCTTTGAGCCATGGGGGAGGCAGGGGTTCCACGGACCCCTCCTCCTTCTCCCCTTCCCAATCTATAAGAAACCTAGTTGAAAGAAAACCAGAAAGAGCCGGGCATGGTGGTTCACGCCTGCAACTCCAGCTACTCCGGAGCCTAAGCCCAGAATTCCAGACCAGCCAAGGCAACACAGGCCCTATCTTCAAACAAAAATTTTAAAGAAAGCAATTGTCCCCTTTGCTTGGGCAGGGGAGGGTCTGGTAGGGCTGGGCTGCAACTGCCTGTCACCTCTTGGCGGATGGGAGTGTCCCAAAGCCCCCACCATCCCCTGGCTGCTGCTCCAGCCTGCACGGCCGCCATGCAGGAGCGGGAGCCTGCCCGCGGGCTGGCAGATCTCTGACCTCAGTGCCGCTTGGACACGGCTCCCTGGGGGTTTCAGGCACTGTGAGGCTGGTGCATCCTGGGTCTGGGGTGGTGGCAGTTGGGGCGAGGCCTGTGACGGCCCCTCTGTCTGCCCCTCTGCAGCTCAGCCCGCCCTTCAAGCCCCAGGTCACATCAGAGACCGACACCAGGTATTTTGACGAGGAGTTCACGGCCCAGATGATCACCATCACGCCGCCCGACCAAGGTGAGCGCTGCTTTGCCTGCTGCCCTCCGCCCCTGGCGGGTGCGCCCAGTGGCTGCCATCTGCGGGGTCGCTTGCAGGGTTCAACTTCTTTTTGGCTTCAGATGCTTTAAAAATCAAAAACTTTAAAAAGCTGCTTTTGGAAGGGACTAATGATGAGGGTGGGAAGCTCAATCCCCCACCCCTAGCACTCTGAGGGATGGGGTCCCATGTCCAGATGTGGGGTGCTGCCTCAGTTTCCCTGAGTGCATGGCACTGGGTTGGCGGCGATCTTGGAGGTATGGCTTCATCCT